AGCTTGGCAACCCATATTTCTTTTCAAAATGAGCTTGGTGATCTATTCTAAAATTATAAATAATTTTTTTTTTTATAAAACGCCAACACAACAAATGTACAAAAGTTGGACTAACAGACATGTATTTGCAATAAGACGAAATGGACTCACAGGAACAGAAGGTGTTGAGGGCCGTGCTCAAACGAGCTTACATTCTCTCTCTAAATATATATATATATATAGTAAAAAAAAAAAAAAAACACCTTCATTAGATTCTTCCAAATATCAAAGACTTCCTCTTTCTATCTTGAAAGATGCTGATGCAACAGTAACCAATTTTAGTGGGCCATTTCCTGTAGTCTGGCAAATTTGAAGTTCTAATTCTAACTAGTAGGGACCACCTGAAATAGCATTGGGAAATGAATTTATGAACTTCAGGTGCTGGCCCAGAAGTTAAGAACCCCTGTTATAGAGAAAGCCCAGATGAACATACTTCTAAACTGACCATTGAGTTTGAGACTAGAAGGGATTTATTCACTAAACAGTGAGTTGTGGTACATTGACATTTTTTAAAAATAATTACCAAAGTAGCTGGCTTGGAAACCTCTTCCCATTCATCTATAGCCACAGCCTGGCTACGTTTGCCAACATTTTGCACTTCAGTTTTCAATTTACCTCAATTCTGTGTTAAGTGCATAAACCTCTCAGTGTAAATTGTTGTGAATACATATGAATTTAACATTTTAGGGTAGAATAGCCAAACTGTAATTTTTATTTTATTTATTTCAAATCAGGTATGTTTCCAATATAGCTCTTTGGGCGTAAAATTTGAAATTCATCTTATATTCACATTGAATTCAAACATTTAACACTTTATGAATAACCATGTAAAATTACTATATATGTCCCGTATGGACCAATACCTCCCCCTACCCTTGCCATGTATCCTACAATGACAAACACTAGTGCTTGACATTGTCTCTGGCGCATTTTGTGGCCTCTGCATTTTGTAGTGAAGAACCTGAAGCCCATGGAGCAACACAGGAGGGGAGTGGGCCTTGACAGGGCCAGAGAGTTGGCAGGTGAAGTTAAGGTCAAGGGGTGTGGAAAAGTAATGTCTGGACAGGGGGGGGAGGAGAATAAGGGTTTAAATAACAGCCATTTTGGTGAACTGGCCTTTTTAATCAAAATCAAACTTACTTGATACTTGTCCCTCCCACCCTCCCTTTGTGTTAGGTTGTCTTGTTTGGTAGGTAGTTTCCCGTTTGGTCACAGCGGCGGGAATAGGGCCTGGGTTAAAGAGGATTTAGGTGGAATAGGAAGTGGGCAGGCCAAGGTCTAGGCTGGACTATGCCGGAGTGGAAAATGGTTTGTAGGTTCTAGCTCGTTGGTGGCTACGAATCTGGGGGTGTAATACACCCCTACAGTTAAACATATGGTTATGGGGCCTCTTTGGTAGGCCATGGGTTAAACGTTATGTATTATTGGAATGTTTTATTATGTTATTTGGTAGGGTCATTGTCGGGGGTATTGGGCAAGAAGGTCGGACATAATTAATACTTGTGACAATGACCCTAAATTGTTAAATTGTTGAATTAAATTTTTTAATAAAGCTGTGGACTTTATACTCCAACAGAAATGGTGTCACAGAGTTATTTTATTAAGGTTTTAGCACATGCCGAATAACGACTGTGCACATGTCAAGTGATATCAGAAAAAAACTGGTCTGTACTCCCTCCTCTCTCTTTGCTCTACGTTCTGGGAAACTGAAACTTAATTTGGCATCTTCTTGGTTCTTTGCACTACAAGTTTCAAAATGTGGTTCAATTAAATAATTCAGTGCTTGAGCTCTTAGTGATTTAAATTATTGAAACTGAATGCTCAAAGTGCACTAACAGCTGAAACCATTTTCATGTTCTAGGTTTTTCTAAAATGCTTATGAAATTAAAATCTCTCCCTTCCTGAGCAGAAAAGAAATCTGACTAAATAAGATTATACTATTTTAAATTACAGAATACTACAGCATTACTGAAAACGACATATATTGAACTTTGGCCACAAGTCATTATATGTCCCCAATCCTGACGACTTATCACTCTACACATCTGTAAAGAGACAAGTGTGTACAACTGGTTTGCGTCTTGAAGTGTAGCAATTCAATATTCCTGCATGTACTCCAATCTCTGATTTCTGTACTGGTGGTTTCATTGCATGTATGCACACATATTGCTTTCCAAAATCACTGAGAATTCAGACTGAATTCAAAGGGGATTTTAAATTTAAAGGGAGACTATAGTACTAGGAATACAAAGTTTAATTTCCAGCTGCTCCCTTGTGCCTCCCCCTCCCTTACTCAATTCCAATGAACTCACTTGGTGCTTTGGTTGAACTCCGCCTCCTCCGATATCACCAGGGGGTTGGGTTAATGCACAGGCAGCAAGGGCCGCAAGCGCATTAGGCCCTCCCCATAGGAAATCATTGCTGTAATACTTACTAGGTGACCAAAAGTTGCCTAACAAGCAGGAAGTACCTCTAGTGGCTGTCTGATTGACAGCCACCAGTGGCAGTCTTAACCCTGCAATGTAATTATTGCAGTTCCTCAGAAACTGCAATAATTAACATTGCAGGGTTAAGGGGAGAGGGACGTTGCAGCCAGACCACTTCAATGAATTGTCTGGGTGCCTACAGTTTCCCTTAAAGGCCAGAGTAACTGAATAGCAAGCATAACTTCTTACAGTTCAGCTATTTTGACCTTAAAGGACCACTATAGTGCCAGGAAAACATACTTGTTTTCCTGGCACTATAGTGCCCTGAGGGTGCCCCCACCCTCAGGGTCCCCCTCCCGCCGTGCTCTGGGGGGAGGAAGGGGTTAAACTTACCTCTTTCTCCAGCACTGGGCGGGGAGTTATCCTCCTCCTCTCCTCCTCTTCGGTTGAATGCGCATGCGCGGCAGGAGCTGTGCGCGCATTCAGCCAGTCCATAGGAAAGCATTCACAATGCTTTCCTATGGATGCTGGCATCTTCTCACTGTGAAAATTACAGTGAGAAGCGCGGAAGCCCTCTAGCGGCTGTCAATGAGACAGCCACTAGAGGCTGGATTAACCCTAATATAAACATAGCAGTTTCTCTGAAACTGCTATGTTTATAGAAAAAAGGGTTAAACCTAGCTGGACCAGGCACCCAGACCACCTCATTAAGCTGAAGTGGTCTGGGTTCCTATAGTGGTCCTTTAACTTTGAAATTCACTTTGAATTCTAACTTTAGTGAATCACCCTGATTGAAGATATTCACATTGCCCCTGATGTCTGGAGGACGATGTAACACACCCAGGGTGATTTCTTAAACAGTGAATGGTTGGGAATTCAATTACATTTTTTAGTAGATTATATCCAAATGGAAACATGGAGACTAACTCTGACTCCACTATGGTCACAGCTTGTCTATTTTAGCTCAAGTTTTAATATTGAGATTTCATTGTCAAAATGTGGACGTCAGTTAATAACCTTGTTAGTGAATTTACATTTTAGGTTATAATAATTGAACTGAAAACATTGCTGACTTTGAAATTCACTTTGAATTCCCGACAATTCACACTGAATAACCTTAAAAATGCGGCATATTTTTTCATGAAAATATTGCATATAATTTCGAAACTATTAGAAATGAAAACAAATATTTTTTTCACTTCCTCACATAAAACAAAATCAGGTCAACATGTTACTATTTCGTTAAATAAAAAAAGCAAACTAAATCAGAAGGTACCAAATATACTGGGACATAGTTTAAAAGAACAATGCAGACATATAAATCATTTTAGCTTGCTTGCTGGAGTGTTTCATGTATGAAGACTGTAATTTTTTTGCATTTTACCAACAGTTCAGATTTGAATTAAAATATAATCTTTTATAAATTAACTGTATTAACCCCTTAAGGACACATGACATGTGTGACATGTCATGATTCCCTTTTATTCCAGAAGTTTGGTCCTTAAGGGGTTAAACTTCCCCTTTCTGTCAATTAGAAAACAGGTCCTTACTTCCTGATTTGGTTAGCTCAGTTGAGCTAAACTCAAGATGCAGCAATTGCCCAGAATGCAAAGCATTCTCATTGAGCTGCATTATAAATCTGTGATTGGACAGAAACAGAAAGTCTGGGATGGGGGAGCAAGAGATCTGCAGCTTTTGCAAGTTGTTTTTAGAAGTACCCCAATGAAACTGTGTGATGCTTCCATTGTGCCCATATATTACAAACTAAGAATCCTTGAGATTTTGACACGAACACTGACAGACCCCAGCATGCACACAAGACATGTGACTGCATCTCCTCTGGTAAATTATATATTTTTCTGAAACAAATACTCTGAATAACCATTTGAATGCTAAAGCCAACAAGTGGCTAGTGATGTTTACTATTCAGGCATTATATATGATTAATGCCAATCCCCTGATGTGCAAGACAGTTTTAAATGTCAGTATTTAGTAATTCCCACCTCTTTATTTAAACATTCAGACCATGTGTGTATCAATAAAAATGTTTTGTAATTTTATTTGCCTATGTACTATCCTTCATGTGCTATGACATGTCTAATTATGTGTAAAAGAAAAAAATATTTTAGTTTTAACAATCAATCGCCAAACACTAAACATGGATTTTACCCATCAAATATGTTAAAAACAAAAAAAATGCATTTGTCCTAATCAGCATCAAATAGTAAATTCATTGTATTAAATATATGAGCAGTCTGATGGCCCATAGATTGATATCAGTTCAGTGTCCCATAAAATCCCGGTGCATAATAAGTAACTGTGTGATATTTTGTATCAATCTAGTTAACCTTACAGAAAACTGCATATTTACCTCACCAACTCTATACCGGAGATGGGCATCCTCGGTCCCCCACATGTTTCTGGAATTCATTCCCTATGGTGTTCAGTTAGCTTTTGGGCAGGCTGAGCATCATGGGAAATGGAGTTCAAAAAATAGGAAATCACAGTTATCTCCATTTAGGAGTGCTTTCTTACCAGTTCTTGCTTTAACCTTCGGATATACTGATCCATGCTCCTTGTGTGTTTTTCTAGCAGTGCAAGTCCATTTATCGGCGTCTCTAGAACTTCAGGACCTTCTATGTATCCCTGATGGGTGCAGAATGGACAAGGAGTAGTTCAGTTGTTCTGAGTATATCAGATCCCAAGTATTTTATTTTTTTAGGTTTTAAAGCTATTGCAGACAGGTTATGCAGTGTACCAATGATAACCTCTCTGGCTCTGTAGTGGGGAACCCAGGTTAAGTATTTTCAGTGAGCCATAGCTCATGCAGTCACAGAGCTTTGTGAACAGACTTCCCAGCGCTGGGAGCAATGTACAGGGCTGGCAGCTCCTCCCAGCA